TACCGTGCTGGTACCTCTGCCCCTGAGGTCGGTCGTACGCCTGTACGAAATGGGTTTGAGTGGGTTGCTGGGTGTGAGACTTCTGAACATACCCTTCTAGCTTCCCGTTACGAGCCAAAAACTCTAATTCGTCCTTCAAGTGTTGGCAATCCTCTGTATTGTGACCATATACACGGTGATAGTCACAATGCTTGCTCTTGTCTGCCCTCGGAGAATCATGTAGTGGGGGTGGAGGTCTCCTAACCCAATGCTGAATTTGTGCCAGGATTTGAGACCTAGGTAAGGTCAAAGGAATGTAACTGGCATATTTCGGGAACTCAGCTGGTTTCCCCCATTGCTCACTGACCCTCTGTTTCTTCTTCTCTTCTCTTCTCGGTTGTTGTTCCTGGCCTTTGTTCTGCTTATCATCAGCTCGTCGCTTGGACGACTGAAAGTCCTCTGACAGTATGAAGCTGGCCGACTTGTCATTCACCTCGTTCCATGTCTTCGGTGGGTTTTCAAGCAGGTCATCTAGGAACCGGCCACCCTTCAACCAATGCAACAGGGCGGACAGGCAAATCGTGTCTGGGACATTATCAACGTCCAAGGTGGCTTTGTTGAACCGTTGCATGTAATCCCTCAAAGACTCTCATTCCTTCTGGTTAACTTGCATCAGCTCGGTTGCTGTGCGCTTGATCTCCCTTTGGCTCGCAAATTTGGTAGAAAATAGCTTGGCAAGCTGGGAAAATGAATCTATTGAATGTCTGGGGAGTTTGTGATACCACCTCCTGGCTGTTGATTTTAGTGTTGCTGGGAACACTTTGCACATCATGGCATCATTGGCGCTTTGGATTCTCATGATGGCTTGATAGGTGTGCAGATGTTCATCAGGGTCACCCGTGCCATCATATGTCTCCAGGTGGGGAATTTTGAATCCCTCTTGATACAGCTCTGCCGTAATGGACAAGTTTAGTGGTGCACTATCCAAATCCAGAGTCTGTTGATGCGACCTGGGACTTTTTAGCTCATCAATAGACTTTTGTACGTCCCGCAGCTGTCTTTCAAAATCTGCGTTCTTTCTCATCAGTTCTTCACTATGTTTGGACGAGCTGGGCTCGACATTCAACTTCCCACTTCCCCTTGGCCTGGTCGGCACTACTATGTTGCTGAGAGCGGGGGAATTTCGAGTTGCAACAACCGCAGTTGGTTGCGCATCCCTGTTCAACAAAGGAATCAGGGGGTCATCAGGAATCAGACGGGCAAGGATTTTTCCCATTGCCATTTCGAGAACTCTGATTCTCTCTTCGAGCTCGGTTGTCCGAGCAGGTTCTGTTGACCTTTCAGGTCGTTCACACTGTGAATTGTCCGGTCTAGAAGGTCTTTGTCTTGTTCCTGTTGGAACTTGGAACTGTTCAGGCTGGGTTGCATACCCAGTTGGTGTTCTTTCGTCATCTGTTTCACTTAGGTGATCCTGTTCGGCTCCCCCGACGAAGAGGTTTCTTGGCATTGGCCTAAAGTCATTTAATCTGGGCTCAGATACTTGAGCGTCCTCCTGTTCGTCCACCTCATTCCTTGGGGGGCGACCTCCTGTAAAAGTTCGAACCATTTTGTCTTTCAGCAAGTTAAGTTACACAGCTTCTTATTCGGATTCCCACAGACGGCGCCATCAATGTTTCGGCAGCTTCACAATCCAACACTGTTGAAGTCTTCAGCTGCTTCTACACATGAAAATCCCAAGGTTGTTTCCTCGGGAGAAACACTCCGACGCTCAAGTCAGCAATACTCAATATTCTAGAGAGAGAAGTGTAGAGATTAATTACCTTCATCGGAGGTAGTTGAGGGGTATTTATAGCCCTTTGGTGGTGACATACATCTGCACGTGTAAGCATCCCCTCGACCCACGTGTCATTGGTCACGTGGGTATGCTTGTACAGATGCTCCTTCAGCTTGGGCTAATGGGTGGTAGCCTAGGCCCGTTTTGCACAATCCTGTTTGGGCGTTGGGCCTATTCCAACAAGTACCAGTTACCAATGGCTGCACGTTCTGGTTTAGTTTGGTTGAGACGACTTTCTTCCACGGCATTTGTTGTTAGGGAAAATGACAATGATTGGTTTAGAAGTTTTTGAATCATTACAGGAGAATTAGGTCCAGTGGTATTCAGCAAATGAGAAAGAAAAGTAGAACACCTCAGCCTCTCTCTGTCTCTGTCTCTCATCCCCACCCTTCTCTTCTTCACTAGGACACGTTACTCCTAGCCGCTGTCCTCTGTCGGCAGCAAGGAACAACCTAACAGTAAATAATACTAATTATTACAAGAAAAGTATTTTTTAATATGAATTATATAGTTTTTACGATTTAAAAATTAAAATTACTAAAATATCATTAATAAATAAATATTGAAAGCAATTTCATTAAGAGTTCAGTACTTGAGTTGTATTATCCCTTCGTTCATTTTTCATAGTATTAGTTTGATCTTTTAACCTATTTAATATAAATTTTATATGAAAGTTTAATAATTTATATAAATAATAATTAA